AGGGACCCAATAATCTAGATGTATATAGATCCAGAGCTTTAAAATATTATTGGACCCTAGCTGTATACTCTGTTCCTTATCCCTACAAGTAGTCAGGAACCTCTGATCCTCCTCAATTACTGCCATAATTTGCATGGGGAGTAGTTCTCCTAGAGTTCATTTCCCCATAGAAACAATGTTATAGAGGATGGTTAAATGTACTTTCATACTGTTATTGTCACTCAAGGTACATTATGGGTTAAGGAGGTTTTTATGAGCTGATCTGGAAACCAAATAACCATGCATTAAGCTATTTTTATAGGAAAAAAATGTGTTATGGTCTTCTGAGAACCCACTTGCAGAGGTAATTTGCAACCTATCTATATGTGAGATATTATCTGTTTTACCTGATAAAGTTCACAGAGTTATTTTTCCTATCCTACCCAAACATTGCTTTGGTAATCTGTAATCTGCAATAAGTGAAATTTTAAAAAAAATTCATTTAATTTGCTATAATGCTCAATTAAATGCTGAGTTAGAAAAGGGGATATTATATATTAAATAAAAATGGCTAAATATATCCTGTGACTTCAATGACCCAAAACAAGGAATAGGTTATGGCTTGAAAACAATGCCTGATTCTTGAATAAAGTTGAGTCATTGTGAGCATAAAAATGGGATAATACTTATAAATAGCTTTGCAAACCTTAAAGCACTATATACATGTTAGCTATTATTATTATTAAGTATTATTGAATACTTGTAGATTTTCTTCCCTTATAGAACCAGTAAGGTATTGAAGATGCTGAATGTGACCAGCACCAAATAACATACACACACACACACACACACTCAAAGTAGCTATATCTTAACAGATAGGAAATAACTTTTGGAATTAGCTATAACATTTAAATCATTGGTTAGTTAGATAAAAGATTAAATTTATACCAAATTACAAGGAAGAGAAAAAAAAGCTGTAGTGTGAGATTAAAATAACTCTAACTTGAATAATTTATTTTAACATACTATTGACAGATTAATAGTTTTGCAATGAAGTTTAATTGATGTATATCAGTCACCACAATGAGAAACTAAATAAATTTAGAAACTGTTTTGGTAAGAAGTGACCATTTGATCCCCCTGCAACTGGCATACAGATGGTAACCAAAGATGTCACCAGTTTGGAATACAAGTTAATTTGTAAAATCTTATGAAATAAGGCAATGGAAGCTAATGAGTATCTCATAAAAAAGCAATATATAGTAGAGGAAAAATAGGTTTACATAAAGTTTGGCATGAGACCATCCTAAGATCATTAAATGAGGAAATTGGAAGAGTAGCACATAGACAAAAAATGTAATATCTGTGGAGATTTCTATTAAGAAAACAACTTGTTTCTCCATCAAAGACAGTGGAGCTAAAGTGTTTTTATTTATAGACCCCTAATATTAACCATGAAGAGGTAAAAATGGAACTAGTTAAAATAAAGACAAGTTCAGCTGTACAAGAGCAGCTATATACAAAGGAGGTCTGTGCTGCAATTAACACATTTTTGAATGTGTTGAGGGATCGAAGTTCAAGACATATGAAAATAGGAAGAGTACCAAGTGCCTAGCATATATGATTCCTAACAAATAAAGGTAATCAAGAAAATATCAGTAACTATTGACTAATATGTCTACCTTCCCATCTCTACAAAATCATCGTTGTGATAACATACACATGTGTTGAGGGCATCTTTAATGAAGATATGAGAAGGGAACAGCCAGGTTTTGGAAAAAGATAACTCATGATAGGCCACGTCATTACAGTCGTAGAATTGGCTGAAAGGTGCAGAAAGTAGTATAGCTTACTGTGCTTAAGTTTGTTGATTATGAAAAAGCATTAGATCCAATAAAAATGCTTTAAATTCTAAGAGATTAAAAAAAAAGAGCACCAAATATCTGTAGCAATTCTTTTTGTTGTGACAAAGAACTGGAAACCAAGGGGGGTATTTCTTAATTGAGGAACGGCTGAATGAATTATGGCATGTGAATGTAATGGGTATTATGTCATAAGAAGTCATAGGAAAGGGATAATTTCAGAGAAACCTAGACAGACTATGAACTGATATAGAAGGAAATGTGCAGAACCAGGAGAACAATTTATACAATACTAACAATAATCTAAACACAAGTATCTTTGAAAGATTTAAACACTCTAATCAAAACAATGACCAAACACAATTCCAGAAGCAGGACAATGAAACGTGATACACATTTCCTGATAGAGAGGTGAATGGACACAAGATGCAGAACAAGATATATATTTTTTGACATGGCCAATAAAATGATTTTTTTTTACTTAACTATGTATATATACTTTTTTACAATAGTTTTTTTTCTTTTTCCCCTGTGGAGGGGGGAGGTAAAAATAAGAGAAAAATCAATGCTCATTAATTCAAATAGAATATAATGAAATACAGTTTTAAAAATGCTGTCTTAAAGACTCTATTAAGATGTCCTCCAAGTCTATGTTAAAATCATACATAAAAAATACCTTGACAGATGAAATAACAGAGCCATGTTCATTGTATAACTACCTGAGTATTAATATAAATAAGGATAAAACCTGAAGACCTGCTCACCAAAGGTATTTTTCATTAACACTGAACACAGTCCAAATGGAAGAGGGGCTCTCCATAGATGGTGTGGTCCTTCATATAGTCCTGTTTGCAAATTACATTATGCTAATTGTATCAAGCCCTGCCACCTTTCTGACCCTCTTAAATTATATTCATATTCACTTGAAAAATTTGGCTTAACTGATCATATGAGAAAACAGAATCTTATAAAGAAAAATAGCAAAATTCAAAAGGAAGAAATTGGGCTGACTATGTCTGGGAAATCATATAACATGCTCAAAGATCTTGAGATGTCTTCTGCCACAGAAGCCCAACTTTAACACCAATGTTCTCTGAATAATACTCCTCCTAAATAAGATTCATAGTCACTTAAAATTTTAGCTTAACTGGTGACATAGGAAAAACCAAGTGGATGAAGAATATTTATTGCTTACATTGATAGAATATATAATTATATTGACTGTCCACAGAACTGGTTCACACATATATAATCTTGGACAGATACTTGGACGAACAATGATCTGACCCACAATTTAGTTGGAAGAAGTTTGGGCTGGATTGAATCCAGGGAATTATACAGCTCTTTTAATGACTTGAAACTTTTTCCTGAAACAAAACTCTGTGTGTATGTGTGTGTATTTGTTAACACCAGTGTTCTTCTGCTGAGAGTATATGGCTGTAAATCATCAGATGCCACAATCTCTAAAGAATCAGTTTTGCAGATTACTCAAAAGATAATGATGAGTGTAAGTAGGCTGTAGCAGAGTATAAACATACAACTATACTCAAGAACCAGAATAAAAGGTGTCATTGAAGGAATATCTGATCAGCAAAGGAGGTGGGTTAGTCATGTAGCAAGAGCAATGAATAATAGATGGAAAGCCTGCATGGTCCATTAGTAGCTATTCAATGTCAAGAGACCTAAACGGAATCTCTTACCAAAAGGATTCCCTATGGAGAATTTAAAGGCAGATCTAAATAAGAAGTACACAGGGTGGAGTCATGGAAGGACTGGAACAGTAAATGGGACACTTTGATGATTCATGAAGTATCTTTGCTTTTCTGTTAGATTAAATTGTCTTTATTCTATAAGTACTTGAGGACCATGGCTAGGTTAATCAGCTTATCTTTTAATTCTCTCTAAAGTTAATCATCCAGCAATGATTTGAATAATGAATCTCAATATGGCCTGGATTGTCTAGATCGGTGATTTCAAACTCAAATATATCTATATATAAGTATCCCTGCGGACTGCATATAGACCTAGTTTTAAAATGTATCATCATCTATGTTTTATTGTAATTTTAATATTTCACAATTGCATTTTAATCTGGTTCAGGCTGTACTTGAGAGAGTTACAAGCAACATGAAGTCCACAGGTTGTGTCTGTGACACCATCATCTAGGGTCTAGATGATGGACTGGTTATGTGTATCATGAAGATGACCAGAAGTAGATTTATGATGTTTTCATAATGTACTATCTGCTTATCAGTTAATTTAGTCGTCTGCATAGATGGAGCTATTTATTTGACATGTACTTTTAGTGTTTCCTACATTGCATGCATTCTATATATAGATGCTCACTAAATATTTTTGGACTAAGACATTTTCAAGACATTGTTTATTCTGTATAAGCCTAATCTTGATATTCTCCTTTTGCTCCTCCCTCTCCTTCACCCTATTCCAAAAAAAGTCATAGAAAAATTAAGTTTTTAGAAAGAAAAAATTATGTTACAAAAAGAATCAATTTTATGCTTTATTTGTATGCGAGGATGGCTTTATAGGTAGTCATCAAATATGATTTGATTTTTAGGGTATAGGGCATAGCAGTTATTACTGAAAAGAGAATTTATATAATGCCCGAAGGTTTACAAAGCTGTTCACTCAGAATTTGAACACAGGTCTTTTTTGACTCTACTTGCAACATTCTTTCCATTCTGCACTCCCAACTACCTTTTACCAGCCCAGTAATGCCTGAAATTCCAGAATTAGACATTTATTCCTTTGTCTTCTGCATATATCTGGGGATTGTGAAGTTAATAAAAAAGAATAGATAAAAAAATTAAGTCTGATCATTTTTCTTACATCTTAGTATGAATTGAATTTATTAGATCTCTTTTTTGATAAGGGAAAACAATATAGTATAAGTTTATTTATCCCCTGAGGTAAAGAGAGATTAAGGAATCAGTGTAGAAAAAAAAAATTAGGTGTACCTGTTCCATCATTTTGCCTGGAGTCATCCCTACTGGTGTAGAAGATGGCAAACGCTGCCAGTTTACAATGGATAAAAGTACTTTGGTCCTCTAAGCCACCACAGTGGTGTCCTCTCACCCAAGGGAAATATGCTTTGCATAAAATCCTACAAGCTAGGTTGAAGAGAAAGGAAATGGATCTTACCCAGTAGGCCTTGAATCATCAATGGCTCTGTCTAATGGGATCAAATCACTAAGGTAGACATTGAAGTTTCCTTCTTTCCATCTTCTTTGTACTTCTTTCTCCTTTCCAGGGGGAACTACTACAGGGTTTCCAAACTGGCCTGGTGCTTTGGGATTCCTTGGAGAAAGTGTCACATCAATGTTCAATACTGGATGCATTCCAAGGTCTTCAGATAAATGCATTTCGCTCGCAATTTGATTCTGTATCATGGACTGGTTCTTAATAGCTGTGCTGACTTTTGTGAACTCTGAACCTCCGGTCAGGGTTTTGTTGGTTTGGTTGGTTGGAGATACCCCTACTTTCTGTGAAGGGCCTAAAAGGAAAGCTGTCTCACTTCTGTTCTTTGGAATGTGCCTTCCTTCACTTTCATCCAGTGTCTTAGAAAAAACTATTAGATCGTCTTTGGAATTGGGCACCTCTTTAGGCTGCATTTTCATTTCCTCCTCTTTGGTTATAATCACAATGTGGCTTTCAGAGAAATTGAATTTCTTCCCAAGATCCACTTTAGCCTTATCACTCTTTGGCAGGCCTTCTACTCTTGTTTCATTTACAGATTGGGTCTTTAAGTGATCTCTGTTGGCAGCAAATTTGGGCAGGGAAGGATTCCTGTCTAATTGAACCTCATTCCCATTTATTTCTTTGGCACCAGTCTCATTTTTGTTTAATGCTATGGTTTCCCCAGATTTTGACACTGTTGGGTCAGTGTGGAATTTCCTACCTGTTTGCCCTCCAGGTGCCTCTGGTTTGGAGTCATCTGTTTTAGGGTCAGTAGTCCTTTTGGAACCCAATTTTTTTGCCCCTTCAGATGCTGCTGACATAACTGTATTCTTCTTCCATGGCACCCCCAGATTGGCTTGAGAAGGTACTTCATATGCTAATTTCACCCGGGAAATTTCTTTTGTTCCTAGGAGTGGAGTTTGCCGGGATCTGCTGGAAGCCTTTTGTTTTCTTCCCATCAGGACCGATGAGTTACTAACGTTGGAAGTATTCTCCCTGCCTCTCTTCAGCGGGGGAAGGGAAGGTGGTGGGAAGCTCTTCAAGTCTACTGGTCCCCAAACAGGGACTGGGTTTCCCTTTCCAGGAATTTGCTGCGCGGTCCATTCCTGCTGCAGTTTTTCTGCATGGTCCTCAGCCTTCAACAACGTGTTCTCTGTCTTTCTAAAGTTTTCTCTGCCCCATTTCCCTCTTTCGGATCCTTTCATGGGACGCTTGGTTTCCCTTCTGCTGCTGGGGGGCATCTTCTCTGGATCTCGCAAAACTTTGAATTCTTCTCGTCCCCTCCGGATGAGGTCTTCCTTGAGGACCCTCGTGTTAATGTCACTGAATGAGAGGCGGAGAGCTGCCATGTCAAACAGCAGCCAAATGACAGAAGCGACGAATATAAAGACCAGAGCTCTCCTGCTTCCTCGGAAAAACTTCCAGATCTTGTTCATCATCTCAGGGTTTGCCCTGAGGCTTTTGCTCGCTGCCTGGGCTGCTTACCTGGAGCTGAGTAGCAGTGGCGGCGGCGGCAGCAACAGTAGCAACAGCAGCAGGAAAAAAGAAAAAGAAAAAAAAAACCTCAGCTCCCCCCCACCCCACCCCCTCTCCCTGAAAACTCAGCAGGAACAGCAGTCCGGGTGGTGGTGGGGGCTGGGGGAAAGCTCAGCTCCTGCTGCTGCTTGTCAGTCTCTGCCTGCGTGGCATTTCACAGCAGACCATCTATGCGTCCTCAGCCTGCCCTGGTTAAACCCTGGTAAACATTGGCATTAGGCACCAGCAGAGCAGTAAATTCCAGCCCCACGGTAGCTTCCGGTATCGGTTGTCTGGTTGAACTGGTGTCCACGTTCTGACAAGCCCAGTGGAAGGTTGCGGCTCAGCTGTTTCTTCTCCCCTCCCAGTTCTCATTCTTCAAATTGTAACTCAACACCACTTCACATAAGGAAACCATTTCAATCCATTACCCAGAAAACTTTATGCCACTCTCACCTTCCAAACTGTGTAATCTTTCTTTTCTTTTCTCTTCTTTTCTCTTTTGTTCTTTCTTTCTCTCTCTTTCTCTTTCCCTTTCCTTCCTCCCTCTCTCCCTCTTTCCCTTCCTTCCTTCCTTCCTTCCTTCCTTCCTTCCTTCCTTCCTTCCTTCCTTCCTTCCTTCCTTCCTTCCTTCCTTCCTTCCTTCCTTTCTTCCTTCTTTAATCTCTCTCTCCCTCAAGTAAAAAGAGTGTGATCTAACTACATTCATATGCTTATAAACCTCCCTAGCCCTGCCCTACCCTTAACCTTTTTCTCGGGTACAATAACTGATATAACTTAGCAATCAGTTACTGTCTGCAGTGTTTCCAGTTCCTGAAGTAAAAGCATGAAAAAAAGGAATGCATTGCTTTTCAATTGTAAAAAAGAGCTAGTCATCTTTCTGAAGAACATTTCTGTGTAGGGCAGAATAATACTTTGCCTATTAGCTAATAGTTTTGTTTTGGTTTTTAGCAGACATTTACGGAGTAGCTGGGTTTTTTTTTTTTGAAAGAACAAAAATTGAGACAAACTGTGGACTACAAGATATTTTTCTTCAGATGAGGCATAACATCATATACTGTAACTATTGAACTCTCTCTTTACTGCTGAACGTCAAATGTTATTTCAGTCGTTAGACTTAACCCTGAGAGATTGTAAGAACAGCCTACAGCAAATCTGATAACAATACTCCCCAAATCTCTATCCCCATATACACTTTGCCGTCAGAGCTGATTTCCCTTTACTATTGTGCAGTGATGATGCAGCCTCTCTAACAACTGAATGGCTTTCCAGAATGTATCTAGGCACCAGACATTCTGAGAAACAGAAAAAGAGGGAGAGAATTCTTGAAGGGAGTCTATCTGCTTTCTTTAAATAATGGAGGGCTAAAATGATGTAGGGATGAAGGTGAAGGCATATTCACAAGTTCAATTGATTCTTGCCATTTCTATCTTCTGTTGAAAGACAGTGTGGTATAGTGGAAAGATTTGCTAAAATGTTAAAACTCTGGATCACAGATTCAGAGCTGAAAGGAATGTTAAAAATCATCTCGGTTTTTTACACAAGAGAAAACTGAGGCCCTGAGAAGTCATAGGATCAGTAATTTGGAGTTGGAGAGAAACTTAGAGATCCAGTCCCCTCATTTAAAAAATGAGAAAACTGAGGTCTGGTGAAGTGTCTTGTCAAAGGTCGTATAGTGCTCCTGGGCTTTTGTTGTCAGAAGGCCTACACTGGATTCCCAACCCTGCCACTTATCGGCTGTTTGACAGTGGACAAGTCACTAAATCTCTCTGGGAACCAGGTTCTTCATCTGTAAAGTGGGGGCAATAATGCACTACTTAACCTCACTGGAGAGTTATGATGAAAGGGCTTTGTAAACTATAAAGAGCTATATAACATGAATTACCAGTTACTATAGACAATGGAGAGTTGCTTTCCCATACTTCAGTAGATAACAGGCAATAAACAAATGCTTATTGAGCTTCCTATGTCCCCAGAAAAAATAAGCAGGACTTAACTGCCCTCAGAAAGCTTTACAACATGGTTGGAGAGATAAAACAATAGCTAGCATTTATGTAGTGCTTTAAGATTTTCAAGGTGTATTACAAATATCTCATTTTATCCTCACATCATTTCTGGAAGATAGATGTTTTTATTATTCCCATTTTACAGATGAGAAAACTGAAGCAGACAAAGGTTAAATGACTTCCTTGATTCACATAGCTAGTGAAGGCAGATTTGAAATCTGGTCTTTCTGACTGTGGGTCTAGTTCTCTGTGTCATTTAGCTACTCAGTTACAATCCACATAAAACAAGCGAATAGGCCATAATTTGAGGCACTTTTTTTTTTTTTGCTCAGAGTCATCCAGTGAGGTAGATATTGCCTTCACTTTTTGTTTTTACATCCATTTTGTAGATGAAGAACCTGAGGCTTTGAGGAAAAGTGACTTACCTGAGATAATTCAGCTAGAAAAATGGCCAAGCCAGGACTCAAGCATAGGTCTTCCCACATTCTGTATTACACCAAGTAAATTCTCCTCTACCACCCTATAAAAAGTGGAAGGTCTTCCTTACACTCTCTGACATTTGTGCCCTGAACACTTTACACATACTATATGCTGGTCAAAAATCTTTTGAAGACATTAATGCTTTGCCTTGAAAGGCATAAGAAAGCATCCCCAATCAGCTATTTGCAAATCATTTTGTTGAACAACTAATAGCACTCTTCACTTAAATAGGCATTTGTTAGTTGAAATCCTCCAGACTCACATTAGAGCAGCTGATTGTCAGAATCCTTATTGCATCTGACAGTTATAAAGCTTGAGATGGATTCTCACTGTTTTGTGTCCACATGCTCTTCAAACAATGATTTCTTCCTCTCCCTTTAGTTTTCCTGTACTCCTAACAACACAACCTAATTGATGTGTAGCCTGGATTTATGGTTCAATAGAGTGAAAAAGTAAGAAGTTCTGGATCAGACACAGTTTCATCACTAACATTATTGAACTCGAGAAAATGAGACTGTTCTCCAAACTCGATCTCTAGATATACCTGTTTTAATGCTTAGAATAAAAGGGGGAAGTAGGACACAATGTAGCATAGAAATATGGGGGCAAAATAATTTCTATGCCAATTCAGAAAAAATTTGCAGCCCCCTTATAGGGAAAGCTAATGTGTTCACCAAATATTAGCCCATGGGTCATCAGAGACCCATAAAGAATGTCTCATGCGTCTCCCAATTCCCTTTATCACTATACTAGCCATTAATCTGTTTCTTCATTGCCCTACACATCTGATTTGGACTTCGCATCAATGAGCAAGAAGAAATTTAAAGTGACAAACCAAAAAACAATAAACTTACTAAAGTTTAACTTGATATTTTTTTTCCCAAGATTGATTTATCTGTCCTTTGACTTTGGAGATGTTACAGGCTTGCCAGTGCTGATGGAATTACTACCTATGTTGCCACAGAGAAAGCTAATACTGGCATGATTTATCTATACACAGTACTTCATTGTTATTAGCCTGTCTTTCATTTTGAGTATGGTTTTAGTTGAGTGTTTTTCAAAATATGGTCCGGGTATTCCTTTCAGATTGTCTGAGAGGTCAAAACTGTTTTCATAATAATAATAAGATATTTTAATTTCTAATATGATACAGAGAACACAATATATATCACTAGATATAAGACACATAGACAGAAGTTCTTTGGGGGAATCCTCAGTGATTTTTAAGGGTATGAAGAAATCCTAAGATCAAAACATTTAAGAACTGCTCAATTTTAGAGGTTTAATTGCTAGAGGATCTGCAAAAATTGGCCAGAATCAGTTTAAAGATTTTAGGATGGTATAGCAGAAAAAAAGCAGAAAGTCAAACACTGGCTTCCATCCCAACTCTGCCATTTCTATCTGCTTTCTATCACTAAGAAAATGAATTTATCTCCCTTCGCCTTTGTTCTCACTTGTAAAATGGGGATAATAATACAGGTACCTGCCCTATCCACTTAAGGAGGCAGCATGGAAAAATGTGGGGGTTATTAACTGGAGTTCATGAATATGATTAAAAATATTTTGAAAATTGTATTCCAATATAATTGGTTTCCTTGGTAATCTTCTGCATTTTATTTCATTCATTTACAAACATTATTCTGAGGAGTTCCTAGATGTCATCAGATTACCAGAGGTGTCCATAACACAAAATAGGCTAAGGACCCCTGGTGTTGTAGGTAGAATGGCCTGGAATTGGGAATATCTGAGTTTTAATTCTACCTCAGACACTTAGTAATTCTATGGTCCCAAGGCAAATCACTCTCAACCTACATCTCTCCTGACTCCCTATCCAACAGTCTTTCCAATAAATCACACTGTCTCTTAGGAAGACCTACAGCTGCACCAGAAAGTATAATATAATTCTATTCTATTTGTGGAACGTTTTCTTATCTGTGTCTTAAGATTAAGATTTATGTTGATAATTTTGGTAGATTTATATATTTGTATTGAGAAATTTCCTTTAACACACCTATACTTTCAAGTTTTTATTATATATTGTGGTCTCTATCAAAAAAAATCAGGTTTATTCTGATGGGTCAAGTAAGACAAATATCTTATTGTCCATAGCTTAAAGGCCCTAAGAGTTCATAGACTGAAGATCTTCCTGGAGCATCATTAAACATTTTACCTATCACACAGGGTTTGAAAGAGAATAATGACAATACTTGACTTTCAGGTAGAAGTCTTCAGTGAGGTGTGCCAAGATTCTATTCTTCAGCCTCTGCTTTTTTCCCTTTTAAATATTCATTCATTCATTTATTTTTAACATTCATTTAAATTATTTTTAAGTTTCAAATTCCCTCTCTCCCTCCTGCACCTCCCCATGCAAAGTCATGCAAAACTTGTTTCCTATTAGCCATCTTGCACCCCTCCCCCAATAAAAACAAGAAAAAGAAAGTGAAAAAGGTATGTTTCAGTCTCCACTCAGAGTTCATCATATCTCTCCCTGGAGTGGATACCATTTTAAATTATGAGTCCTTTGGAATTGTCTTGGAAAAATGTATTGATTAGCTAAGTCTTTCACAGTTGATAATCATTACAATTTTGCTGTTATTGTGTACATTTTTCTTCTACTTCTGCTTACCTCACTTTGTATCTGTCCATGTAATTCTTTCCAGATTTTTCTGAAGCCATTCTGCTTGTCATTTAATATAGCACAATAGTATTCCATCACAATCATATGTCACAACTTGTTCAGCCATCCTCCAATTAATGAGAATCATCTCAGTTTCCAAATCTCTGCCACAATAAAAAGAGCTGCTATTAATATTTTGTACATATGGGTACTTTTCCTTTTTCTTTGATTTCTTTGGGATATAAATC